AAGACTGCTGGAACAATGTATCAAACAAAGGGCAAAATAATTTTAAGATTAAACCAGAGAAAAACAAAGGAATGTCAGTGCCAGTGGACATCTCCACTGGTGTGTGAAAGATCCCCTACCCCTCAAAACATTTACTTTCTTCTTTAACCTCTTTTAACTAAAGAACACACAGTGGAATAGGAATCTGGCATGCAGCAAAAGAAAACCCTGACCGCTAGCATCATCTTTATTTACAGAAACACCTCCGAGCTTCTTGGAGACCCCATGAAGAATCTTCAAAAGTAAAAGCACAGGTTTTCTTTGGAAAACAAAAGTTGGAAATTCAACTCCCAGAATATCTTCCCCAAAGAAAGTCACCTGCTCAGTGGAAGGGAACATCAAGATTGTCTCATCCACTTGCCCTCAGTCTAATAGGTGTCGTGGGATAAGCAACATCTCACCAAGGCAGAGGTCTTTTACAGACTAGACTTCACCTGGCAGGCCTAGAGTATCCTCAAAATGTTGACAAAATGGCAGGTGTACCCACAAGGCCAAAACATTTGCCTTTTCTGAACCAAGGCTGAAAGATAGCCAACATGAGCTGGAGTGTGTCAAATTCAGAAACAGGAGCCCCTAATGGGTAAAGATCACCATGCTTTTGATGATCCAAGTGATGACAGGGCCACGGTGGACAGCTGAAGGATCATCTGGAAAATGCACACAACAGACATTTTGGAAGAGACACATGGTAGAAGCCTCTGAACCAAGATTCAGGAGTTGGCATAGTTGGTTTTAAGCACATATAATTGATGCTATATAGTAATTACAATAGCTGTGATGGGAGTCAGGTAGAATGGAGAAAAAAGAAAGTTATAGGAGAACTAAAAAGCATGTAATTTTTATTTATCTTTATTGCAGAAGATGTGCAGCAGATCTCTCTGCGTCAACTGTATTTTAAAGGAATTTGAGAGCTGAGGCAACTAATGGTGACAAGGGATTAAGTTCCAGAACTGACAAGCTAAAAGCAAACAGTCCAAGATGGCTTCCATTCTCAAGTTTGTAAAGTACAGAAATGTAAAATGATGACTGTAACAAAATTGACAACCCATTCCTAAGATGGGACAGTGCTGGGCCTTTCCAAAGTACTGTAATGAGGAAATTATGGCAGGTATCAATTGGTAGATTCCATCTGCCAATGTTGTGATTTCTTGATACAGATTTGTGGTGAAATCACATTTGTAACACTGTGCACAATTCTCTTAACTCTCCTTCAAAAAGTGAGAAAAGGCAAATATAGTTCTCAAGGGGCCATTGCAAGCTCTCTAGAGGCAAAGGTTATAAGGTTTGAATATGACGGAAAATAATAGAGGGACATAACATTATAAAAAAGTGGATACAAAAAGTACTGTATGTTCTTCCTTTCTTCCAAGACTAAACCCCAATAAAGCTGAATGTTGGGAAATGTAGGACATATTTCACACAGCACGTAGATGAACTATGGACTTCACAAATCACCGACTTGGTTGGCTTTACAAGCAGATTAGGCACATCGCTAGAGAAGAAGGCCATCCAGAGCCACCAGTGACCATGGTTCAGCTGTCCTCATAATTCACTGCTGGGAATATGCGGGGGAGAAAGCTCCTGTCCTTCCCAGAGGGGGTCTGGGTGACCATTCTGTCAACGTAGCATGCTGGACTTGGTCAGCTTTCGGCCTGATCCCGCAGGGCTCTTTTGATGCTCTTCTAATACAGTCGGTGATATTGTACTGAGAGAGGGGATGAGATCATCTCTTTAGAAATGTACCTGTATAATAATAACTGTCCTCACATAACCATTGTAGTGTTTGTAGTTATTTATGGAGTTTTAAAGAGGCTAGCAATGAAAAACAGCATATAAGAAAAAAGCAGAATGTGAATAACAGGATCAATTATCTTGATCAGTTACGCTGCAGAGAATAAAAGGCCAAATGAAACGGTTTCTGGACAAGATGCTGTATTTTTTTGCAGGATATGCCATGCCATGTTTTCCCACTGACTTAGCACAGAATCCTAAGCCTAATCTGGTTTGATTTAACATCTTGTATGAAGACTGTAAACCATGGTCTGTAGTTCAGATACTGGCCATAATTATGGCTTAACCCACAATGCATGTTAAGTAAACCATCACTTAACCAGACTAGTATCCTTGTGCCCACAACTATTCTGTGTGTTGACTAGACCAAACTATCCTTCTGAATTAGTATGTAAGTGGGAGTTGCTACAAAAGGAGTAATGGTCAACATAAGAAATATTGTACACGCAGCCAACCATTTCCCTCTCTTTTACTATGACAAGGTAAATTACAGCAGCCAAAAGTTTATGTTACAATAAAATGTGTTGCATTCTGGGTACCACAAAGTTTTTTGCTATGGGAAATGCATCATTATTCCTTTTTTACCACTCAACTCTCTTCAGTTATGATATGATTTCAGAATATGACAACACTCCTACTATATTTCAAATGGTTTTTCAAGAGGCGATTTTAATTGTGCTTTTTATGTGGACAAACCAGTCACAGTCATTCCACAACGTAGTGATAAGACACACAGAGCAAATAAACCTTAGTTTGCATCTGTGTTTTATCCATCCGCATTTTACTAATTCAATAATGTAAACAGATCTATAGGTTAATCATAATTTCCCCCCTCAAAAGGAAAGTAAAGGGATTTGGCTTGAGCAATATGAACAATATGATGACTACTCTTTCCGACTTTTAAAGTAACAACAGGCTAAACTAATTTAATTATTGTTGGCTCACACCGCCCTCCTTTTTTTAAATGGCTGGAAACAATTTTAAGAGGTCTAAAGAGAATGCCTTTCCCCTTCTATGTATTCCATGCCACCTACCGGGAAGAAAAAACCTTATTTCAAACTTGCTACTTTCTACAACAGACTTGACTGCTCTGCAGCTCTTTTGGGCTTTCCTTTACGTTTCGCTAGAAGCCTCAGCAACCATGCGTGGCATAGATTAAATCAAGGCGACTACAAAGCTTCGGGCTGTATCATTTTCTTAGGAGACT